GCGGGAAAGGCGCCGGGCCCTGAGGGGGCCTCAGAGAAATGGCGGCGGGCAGGGCCCGGCGAGCAGGAGGGGTCCGCGCCTCAGGCCTGGCGGATTTCTCGGGCCTGAGCCCGGTAGTAGGTTAATCAGCGACTCTGACACGGGAATTGCCTTAACTCTGCCCCCCAAGGAGACGGGCTGTCTCACAACCACCTTCCTGACCGACCCCCTTCTTGGCTGCTAGTACGGCACGGCTCCTTCCCTGAAGATAACTGAACAGAGTCTTCGTGGAAGACTGATCAGTTATCAGTTCGATCAATTATCAGTTTGATAATCGATCAAAGTCTTGATAAAGCAGCGTTCTTCAGAAATGCCTGCCAGCTGCAAGGCTCTGGTAATTGCTATCTGCCAAAAGCAGACAAAACAGCTTTATTCTTGTTAAATCCATACTATTTTTTTTTTTTTTTTAAAAAGAGTCTGTAATCAGTCACACACATGCAGCACTCCGTAGCGCTCTCACCAGCAGTTCACTGAAGTGCAAAAAATTGGAGTAGAGCCTTATTACCAGAAATAATACTGTCCTTTTGTGGAAGAAAATGCATCTATAAAACCCTGGTTTATGCTCCTGGAGCTCACCGAGTACAAGAGTTATCAAGTTATCAACCAGTATCAAATGCCAGGTGACCATTCACGGGTATATTCAGCTGCAGGTCACTAATTAGGAGCAAGTACAGAGCTGGGCTCCGTGTCAAGAGAACAACTGTACGGCAGCACTGCATGAAAAAGGGGAAAAAAAAGCTCCTGATGCATAGGAGGATGCTGTGAGGGCACAGCTTTGAGTTTATAACGCTTTGAATGTTGTGTTAGGAGAGCAAGAGAGGTGGAGCGACATCAGCAGTATGGAATATCCCAGCCCCTGAAGCTGATGCAGTTACTCTGCACAACTTCCCCCTTGTGAACACCACTCCGAAGGAAGAAATGCTCACAGCTGGTAGCAAAGAGAAGGCATGTGAGAGCCGTTAGGGTAGATGGAGTGCTAAGGTTCACGTCACAGCTCGAGGAAGCTGTAGTATTACCTATATTCACAAAGAAAAAAAAAAAAAAATAAAATCTGCCTCTATTGGGATTACACCAGGAGCAGTTAGTCTTTCATACCAGAGAAGACCCCAAGAGCCTTTCTGAAGCAGCTTGGCCCTCTCCATACTCAAGTCCCACCCCATATGTCTCTTAGAAAACTTTTTTTTTTTTTGTGGTAAATGCATGTTTTCCTTCTGGAAATACTTTCCCTCATTGCATTGCTATTGCTGTCACATATAACATTTCAAAGCAGCCCAAAATAAATAATGTGCAAGTCATTTTGTGGTGTAGAGTAAGCCAGACAATAACCATAAATAATAAATAACTTTATTAAAGAATTAGTTTCAGATGTTTCTACATAGAACAGTTTCTTTTGCATTACATTTTAAAACATTGTTTTGCATAACAAAGTAATCTGTAATGAATATTAGCCTCTTTCCACTGTAATTTTAAAACTATAGTATGTAGTTGGGTTTATTACATGTATGTATCATGGGTTTTTATCTCAGTAAAGCATAGATGAAAATCTAAGTTGTCAGATGACTACTATTTCCTGTTAAATAGCAGTGTCTCTCAAAAGATTTCTGGTTACAACACAAAACACTCTTCTGATACTTATTACTGGGAAATTTAAGTGACATACCTAGAAAATGTCCATGGCCTTATATTCTCAATGACATTTATTGCAAAATTAATGTTGTCTTCAGGGTATGGAAGATCAGGCCCTGGAGTTGTGCTTTCTAAGGAGGGTAGAAGCATCCCTCAGTCTGAGGGTTCTGGCAGACCTCCCTGGGCAAGCCTGGCTCTGGTATCTCAGAGATTCAGCCTGTCCTGTCAGCAGTTGCTACCCCCTTACCACCCACTTACTCACAGCTCTCTTACTGCTCCTCCTAGAATGGCTCGAGAGCAGAAACCACTAGTCTTTGCTCTAATAGAGATCACCACTGCACTAAACAAGCAAAACCCCAGTTGTCTTTCCCTTGTCAGAGCTCAACAAAAGTACTTTTGATTAATTTTGCACATTAATAAACAGAATTAAATAATCTGGGGAAATCTACAGAAAGATACAATTTAAAGGCCTTTTTAGCCAAAGAAATCTTAAACCTATTTTCTTTTATCATATAAATAGTGACTTTAAGGCTACACTTAATGTTTTAGCCTTAATATATGCTATAGTGCTAATGTTGTAACATCTACACAAAATATTTATGCTACGAGATGGGGACCCATTCTGTGTAACAAACCAGGACACAAAGTCAACACTTCAAATACAAAGACCCTTCCTGTTCTCAGTCCCACAGCTGGCTTTCCTCTGCAACATCAGACTCCTGAACCAAACAATGAACAACAACAACAACAACGGGGATGAACGTTTCATTTCAGATTATTCTACATCCACTACAACAGAACACACAAGACGACAAACACATCTCAGCTGAGGGGGAACATGGTTTGGTGTCTGCAGAGCTCTTTTAGCTTTTTAGGACAGAAGAAATGGTGTAATCATTCGTTATCCAGTCAAACTACTGCCTACTCAACCAATTTCTCCCACATATTTTTCTGATTACTGATAGTTACAGCTGAGTTTGAGGACACAGGGGTATTATTACAGAAAAAGCTACTACAGAGAACCTTCCAAGAATGAAAAATAATGGGCCATCTCCAAAGTAAATATACAAAGGATCAGAAATACAAGACCGACAGTCTAAGCACAGAAAATGAGATGCAAGCACAGCTTATGAACATAAGAACGCTGAGAAACTCAAATTTAAAGTATTTGACATCTTAGTATTTCCTTTCACTTTCCTTCACGTTAAATCAAGGTGAATCGTGGGTTTCTATAACAATTTACAGTATGATTTTAGATATATATTTATATCTATATATAGATAGATAGATATATATATATATATATATAGTGGCTACAGCGTATTCAAATTGCTATTACCTGCTCTATCATCTAGAACATTAATTATTTCAGTCACACAAAGTAAAAAGAGAATTTACTTTCTGTGCAAGTTATAGTGTGGGAAAAAAAGTAGTTGCATTGCCAGGCTTAAAAGTCTGAGACTGGTGCTGTTGTAGCAGAAAAATTTTGCAAATCAAAGTTGTTTTGTTTTTTTTTAAACAGAATTAGTGATGATCCATTAAAGTGCTCTTAAGTGGGAAGTTGTTGGGTTTTTTTTGTTAAATTTACTGAAACTAGACAGTTTAGCCAAGGATGTGAAGTTTTGAAGAACATTCAGTTGTCAAAAGATCTGAGTAGCAAGGCACGCTAATACTTAGTAAAACAAAAAACAGAGATTGGTCATAGATACGTGTATACTTATATGAACATAAGCAACGCAGCACCGTTATCTTCTCTGAAGAAACTCCATTCAAACAGAGAATGGAAGCAATTTATTTTTTGCTGCTTTTGATGGGAACATGTGTTCCTTTCACATTGAGATTCTCCGAAGAAACTCTGGGCTCCCTGGAACCCGCAACTGCAAGTGGCTTCTCCCTGAAACAAACAACAAACGGGACGTGAGGGTGGGGGGAGTATAAATTTTGTTAATTATTTATGTGGAGGTATAGTTATTTTAGTTGTAAGGCAGAGTTGACTCTCCCTCCAAAACTACTTCTGTGGTGGTAACAATAGATGGAACTGTTTCCTCATCCTGCACCCTCGAGAAGAATGAACCAGCTTAGTTTGAAAAACGAAATGGAAGGTAAAGTACTTTCTGTAAAAAACCTCTAGAACTGAAGAGGTGCCGGAGGGAAAGCGCTCTCTGTAGTTTACAGCCGAGGAGCATTCCCCTTCTGTAGCATTCCCTACCAAACGCACAACTGATAAAGGCATCACAACCTCCCCCAGCACGATCTCAACAGGAGAGGAAAAAAAATACTTGAAGCTTGGCAGAGAGCAGCCTATGCCAGGATGCTCCTGCATTTACAGGTAAAGTCCTCGCTCCTGAATTTAAGATCAGAAGAGATCTCATTTGAAACCTAACCCTGAAGAGAGGGGTGTCTGTCTCCAACTATATGGAAGGTGTCTTTCCTTTCACCCAAGAGAACAGATCAACCTAGCCCTTAATCAGGATTATTCCTTAAAGCAACTAACCCAGTTTAATGGCCGTGGGGGCGGCTACAACATTTGTACACAGTTGAACTAAGAGAACTGGCATATTCCTCTAGAAGAGCACTCACCAGTTTAGCCTATCAATTCATTAATTTTCAAAGTCAAAATTCCTAAATTTCTTCAAAAATTAGTAAACAAAATACCACCTTACACTCTTCATTGTGGCATCATGAGGAGAGGAGGGGTTAAACCATGCTATTTCTCCTCAGACTGCCAGTAAGCATTGTTTGTTCATGAACAGATTGCTTCCGAATTGAGTTTTCATTCTGCTGCTTGTATTTCCTTATTCTGGTAAGAAACTCTTTTTACCTTCTTAATCCACCTTCCCTGGGTATGTGATGAGTACTTCTGTATTTCGGGGCTTCTAAAGTGTACCTAGTTCTTGCTGGCTTGAACTTCATAATCTCTTTCTGCCACTCTTCATCAAAGGTTTGGGCCTCAGCTGAAAAACAGTTAAAAGTTTACTTGTTAATATATGCAAACAGGATGGGAAAACACACGGAATGAAAATCAGGATTTTCTGAGCAGTCTTTTTTAAACTTGCGGTCTGCAAACTATTTCTAGGGGATCTGTAAAAGGCAACTAAAAGCTTACTGCTTACGTTTGGAAAAACCAAAATAAATTAAAAAATCTGGAAGTCACCGTGTTGTAAAACATGTTAACCACACATCTCAAATACGTATGGCATGTTAGCCACGAACAGTGAAGTTCTGTTAAAAGTTTTTTTGAAACCATCAAATATCGTTAAAAGTACTTTCAAATATGAGCAGCTATTGCATGAACAGTGCCAAATGCATTGTAGTATTTTCAAGTCTGACGGGCTACTTTAACTGAAGTTGTCCAAATTTATATCAACTAAGGCAACTTCATTTGCAGACTTCCAGACTGAAAAACAGTCCCTTTTAAGCTGGAACATCACAATCTTTACGTGAAACAGTGTAAAGCCCATGAGAGAACTGCATCAAAGTACATACTTTCATCCAGGTTAATGAATTCTTGGTTCATTTCTTCATCACCAGTCTTGCTGTTCTTTGATTTTTTAATGACGTGAGCACGATCATGAATATGATGACCAATAGCCATTTTTTCCAGTCCACTTTCAGAATCCTTAAGTGCTTTTCTTGTCTCCTTAACCTGTACAAAAAAAAAGGGAAGTGTCCTTCAACCAAAAAAATAAAGTTAGAAAAGTTTAAAAAAAAAAAAAAAAAAGACACCACCATTTTTTTTCCCCTGAAAGTTTTATATCTATCTTTTGAAAAGGTTAAGTTTTATGGGCTTTTCCAGTTGTCTCATTTACCCTATTGGCTGAAAATACACCAACAATGCACAGATCAAGTCTATTTTCTTTTTTGCCAACAGACAAAAAGATTAAACAAGAACACCTAAAGCTTCTTAGGTAACTTATACGCTGGATCTTAATTGTGGAGGGAAAAAAAAGCCTAGTCTAAATATACTACATGCAGACAAGTCTTCAACATTCTCCTTAACAACAGGACGAGTAACACCCGATGCCAATATTCCCAGCACGAAGGGACAAATAATTACTAAGTTGTCATGTTGACTGGCTTGAAACCCAGGCAACCACTTATCACTGTGTTCATAGGTATATTCTTAGAACCTTTCTGATAACTGAGTGTCTGCTTGAGCTTGAACATATCCCACAGCCAATCATGCTCAATGGCCTTTACCGCTCGCATATAGTCTTTCATGAACCTTGCTTCAGGGTTCAAATTCAAATTCAAATTTCTTAGCAGAATTAGATGCAACAGCTGCAAGGAAGTCAATGAAAGGGCATCTTCACCCACAGCGTTACGTAAGCATTTAAAAGCGCTTGAGTAAAGGGGTTTGCATAGGCAGACCTGCCTCCTGCTATCTTGTATTTTAGACAGAATTTTAAACGTACAAGAGGAGGATTAATTATAGCGAAGAGAAAGACATTGGAGGCCGTCTTGAAGAATCAGCTGTTCTGGCACTCAATTTTTCCAGTCTTTGATAGGTGTACAATTTATTTAGAGGTATATTTAGAAGCACACAAATTACAAGGAAGAAAACTGCACTTTAGCTTAGAAAGCCTTTAATAGAGAGCAATATTTAAACAGACATATATTTTCCTAAATTATAAGAGTAACTGTCTCCAATAAAAGGAACCTGAAGGAAACTGGTTTGGTATAGATGAACTTAAATTCTGATAATTACATATCACCTTTTTGCTGCATCTCAGGACTACTTACACCTCCTGGAGCTGTGCGTGTCTGAGCTGAAGCCTGGAAAACTTTTGGTGGTTCATCCCCTATTTTGGAGTATGTCATCACAGAGGAGGAGCTGAACGTGTGCGCGTCTGGATGGACGGACAGGTCATCCTGCAAGCAACATACATTTCTTTTATTAGTAAAAGTTTAAGCTTGTGGATAATAGGTACTTCTTACATTCTGAGGCTGTCTTATTATGAAAAAGAATACCCCTCTGAAAATTTAACCCTCGGTCCTGGCACCATACACGTGGCCTGTTGGGAAGAGACCTTGGCATTTGATATCCCCAGCCTTGTCTGGCCACAGGTCTCCCCACACCAGGAAACACAACGACAAATAAAAACCATGGGCAGCAATAAGCAACTGCTCAAATGTTTGCCCTGGCACAGTTTAGTAATGAAGATAAAAACCTATAACATCAGTCTTGCCACATACAACATATAATAAGGTGTGTGAGAGTTCAGGTGAAACAGGACTTGAGCAACAAGGGTTACAAGCCATTTTACAAGGCCAACAAACCACCGTAAATATACTCAGCAACACTTAACAGGTGTTATCTTCAAAGACTGTGAAGAAGAAAGCAGCAGCATTGCAAATCAAAAATCAGAGGAAGGTCTAATTACAGGGTGGCATTTAGGTGTTAGTGGGTTTGTCGTTTTTAAGCGTGTGGTAACACTTTAAACTGCTCCTTCACTTGAGGTGTCAGCTCTGGCAACAGCCAGACAGCAGATAACTTAGAGCAGTTCTAACCCCTAGAGAATCAAGCATACATTTAAAGTACTGTTGTTTGCAAATAATCAGTGACAGCACAGAGAATTATGACCATGATACAGTCTGGAAGAAGAAAAAAAAAAAAAAAAAAATATATTCTTACTATCTGCTTAAGACTAGGAACATTTTTCTTGGCAGGACTTTGAGTAAACATGCCATTCTCCAATACAACTAATTTTACAATAAATTTTTTGAAACTTACAAATTTCCTTTGCATTTCCAGCATGCTGTTTCTCATATTTGACATCATCCTGTCCATCGCAAAAAAAGGCTCCCCAAAATCCGCATCCTGCTAGAAGAAAAGACGTCAAGATTAAAACACAGTCTCCTGACTCCTCAAGTGCTGCAGCTGTTTTTCACATGCATTTTTAGTGCAAATCAGGCCATCAAAAAGGTTCTCACAGACTGCCATTCACAGACGTAGACAAGCCAAAATGCATCTTTTCAAATGAAAAACAAAGCTAGCACAGAGAGCTTGATTGCCAAGTTGGAGATGCTAGAAAGAGAGAAGTGAAAGATTTGACGCTCAAATGTCAAAATAAGCTCACATTGCAGCCAATTTACAAGAACTATTTTCACACACCTTCTAACCTATTTCTGCTGTAACAAGTACTACATGACCCTCCACGCCTCATAATCTATGGAAGATCAAATTATCTCTATTACATAAATCCCTTAATGCCTATGGAATCACACTGAAAATGCCTCCCAGCAGACACAGCTCTTTGCAAAAGGAGTGTACATTACTCAGAAAAGGGCAGCGTGGAAAAATCAGAGAAACATAAATTGGTATTTTAATGGCAGCTTAATTATTCGATGCTACAGATGCATCCAACAAACCATTCATTTGTTATTTTTACGTGAAAGCAGAAGATCCACTGTCGTACAAAGGACAGGTTGACATGCACAGAGTTTTATTAGTAGGATGCATAGCTGATGGCATATACTGACCACGCTGATGAAAGCTACCTCTGGAACAAAACCAAACCAAAACAAAAAAAAATAGAGAGGGAGGGAGATGGAGCATGGTAGTTAAGAGCGAGCACCGCAGGCTGCTCGGTGAGCTGGTAGATACCCACACTTTTCACTGCTTCCCCGGACAGCCACTGTGCCCCCACCACCACGCTCTGGTCTGCAGGTACCAGGAGCAGGGAAAACAGTTCCCAGGGGCTCCACCCAACCCAGCAGCTTTGGGAAGAGGCCGTGAACCACCTGGATGCTCATTCCAACAGCACACACCCCACGTTCCTCCAACTACTGGAAACACCTAAAGAAATTCATTTAAATAGCTACGAATTTAAAGGTTTAAAAATAAAAAAACGGCAGTTGAAGCACAAAAAGTCAAATTGAGGCATAGAAAACCTTCAATTTGTTTCTTGAGTAGCCAGAAATCTGAATCCTTAAGGGCTATTCAAAACCTCTGCACATTATAGACAATTTAGGGCACCAAATCATCACAAATGTCAGTAACTCCAGAAAACTGCCTTCTACAGTCAGAAATCTGGACGTTGACCGGTGACATTACACAGGAATGAGCTGCACCTATGGAATTACATGCCATAGATTGGGGCAGGGGGAGTAAAACCATAGCCTGGGCAGTTAATAGCAAAATATCTTTGATTAGCTAATACAGTTTGCATACAACAAGTTGCCAATTTGTGCCTCTGGAAGAGATAATTAAACAAGTAATAATTTGGGATCGGACAGTTAAAAGACCTGTGCTTATTTTTATCTGCTCTGCAAGTGAGAGCTGCTCTCTAAGCTACTGGTTTTCAAACTGAGGACTCCTTAAAGCCTTCCAAAGGAAGCAAAAAGCTCCATTAGGTCACAAATAATAAACTTGGTTTTCCTCAGTTTTCACAGATCTTTCAAGATATTCCAGACCCCCAAACTACAGCTTAAAACCATTCCAAGGCCAGTTCCAGTGGAAATTCTGTCTCAGCTGTGACCAGCACTACAGGTCTTGCTGGCAATCACAAGATACACACACTCCAAGCTACTGGTGTCCGACTACAGGCAGCACTGAAAATTGGGGGGAGGTCTCTCCAGGGATTATTTCGTCTCTTCAAAGATTATTTCATTCCTATCCATCAGAGATCAAGAACTAACAGATACATCACTGAGTAGAAAAGCCAGCTGCTCTGTAGTAACTTTTCCAATCATGGTAGCAGTGTATTTGGTGTACCCTAGCATTTATTAAGAAAAAAAATAATATTTCTTGAATTATATTGTTCCATATAACTAAACACCAACAGAAGCAGTTTGCAAGCACACTGAGACTAGCCTTAGTCCATGCTTTAGCTATGCAGCCAGTATACACATACTAGCAAGAGCTACAAGGACTTTTGCTCCTGGGATACTAACCACTCTACCAAAGCCTGCAAAGGGCATGAGAGCACAGCTTGTGGCCTGGAAGAAAAAGGTTATTATACCTGTTATCAGACCCAGCAGAAGTAACTTTCATATACAGCAGGTGATATTAAACATTTCCCATCAAATAAAAACAGTCACTCGAGGGGATCTTGGTAATTTATAGTGTGCTACGACAGTATAATATGAGGTTGTCTCTGGGTATATAGAAGTAATATATTTATACTAATGATATTGGGAAGCGATAGCTGTCACCACATTTAATAAGGCGTATTCATACATATGGACTAGAAGCACTTAAAAGCTAGAAGTTGAGAAACACTTGTATACCGGAGAAGTTTTTGTACTAAAATTATTTAAACCATGGCACAGCGCTTCAGAGATCACCCACTTCTCTGAAAACACGTCATTCTTCTCGTGCCACAGAATGCCTTCGCTGGAAGTTGATTAAAATCAATAAATCAATAGTCCCTTTAATGTAAATTTACGTAATTAAGTTTCAGAAGGCTGGCATACAATTTTAGAGCTTAAAAAAATTAAGTGATGAGGCCGACCTGTTCACAAGTACTCATTATGTATTACAAGAGATTAACGTAACTATAAAAAGGTATTTCTCCAAAATATCCATAACCCCCCTTGTGATAATCAAAATGAAGTCTAACTTGTCAGCAGTTTCAAAGGTCACTGCAAAGAAGTTCTAGGTAAATCTATCATCATATACAGAACCACCCGACGACAAATCCCCCCCTTGAGCAAATTATATTCTTCCGCAGTTGTATAAATAGATGTAGCTATAAACACTGGCAAATACAGTTCCTGTTTGACCAACTGATATTGAATGTCCCTATATGACAGGGCAATGAGATGCTGGAAAACACACTGATGTTTCCAGGAAACTAAGATTGGAGAGTTATATAAAAGACGACCTAAAGAAAGACTGTTAGACAGAAGTCCCAAACACTTTACAAGAAGTACAAAAGGAAGGAATTGCTCAATTCTCGAACACTTTTATGAACTCTTTCAGATTGCAGTTCTGTCTAAATGCAGTGATGGGAAAAAATATATATATCAAGTGCAAAAGGACATCCTCAGAAATAATCAAGTTTTAGTCTTATAAAACGAAGAGTTTATGAACCTTGTAATACATACTAAAAGCTGTCAGTTGCCTAATACATAGGACAATCAGATATCCAACCCAAACAACACCATCCCTTAAGATGTTTTACCCCATTCCTCCTGCTCACATCCTTTCCTCCTCCTTCCCTCCCTCCAAGAGGCTAAAAACTGACACTGCAAGCCTGCTTCAGAATGGAAAAGTGTTTTCAAATGTGAGGACTGTATTGCTGCACACTCAGTTGCTGCAAAAAAATTTTGTTCCTTGTAAAGCAGTTTTAGGCATAGCTACAGTTAAACACAGAATTACAGTACCAGTGAGCAATATGGGTGATTCTAACAAGGTGTATTTTACATGGTAGTAAAGATACCCACCTCTTCCTACATCAAAATCTAACTGTTTTAAGTGTTTGAATCATTTCTGGAGGGAAACCAGTTTGAGACTACTATAAGGCTCATGTAATCAGTGCTGAGTCTTCTGTGACACCTGACAACTCTTAGGTGAAACGTGAGGAACATCAGAAGATACTGGAAAGATTTTTAGCAGGTGTGGAATTCTTTTGTGCTTATCAAAATAACACAGTGCTCTTGTACCTTTAACTTCTTCCCATAACCACAGAGAAAGGTCTTCTGTGCCTCACGTTCATCCCTCCCTGCCAAGAACAAGGGACACAACCCCCTAAGCTATGCGGGTAAGGTCTGAAATGTTCTTTTTTGCAAGGAAAAAGAAGTCTGGTCTGGTTTTAGGCATCTACTGAACCAAGGCCTAAGAGTCTGCTTCAGCAGAGGAAAGATCATGCCCTAATTAGATCCAGCAGCATCTATATTTGAACCTAACTGGCAGCGTACGAGCACGGAGGAAAGAATCTGACAGTTACCCTTTTGACTTGTAGGTGACAGTCTGTGTTTCAGCTCTGTTTATGAGGCTCTATCTAGGTTTGAACAACCACCACCAAAACTGGCCGAGTTCCACAAGCCCTTGTCATCTCTCTTGTCTTCCAACTGTTTTTTAAAATCAAATGCAATTCATTAGAGATCATTCGGCTGCAAAATATTTAGCCTGGTGGAGGGAAAGGAACCAACTTCAAATGGATATCCTTTCTAAATACGGCAATTAAATGAGGTTTAGCTACAGAAACCTAAGATCTAATTGTCCTGCACGCCCAAAAAATTGAAAAGATACTTTATATAAAACATAAATCGTTGCCAACTTCTCAGTTTCAGGTGGCAATTTACAGAATGACTAGGCTTCGTATCGATTTCCCTAATCTTTAAATTTTTAGTCTGATATCTAAAGGGAACATTAAGCATCAGCCCAAACACAGAACATAAAGCCTTTATTCACAGTTGAAGCAGGGTTTAAAAGATCTCTGTAGGTACTGTTTAGGTGGCTGAAACAGAGGTTTGTGTTAAATCAAACCAACATAAATAATGAGACACATGATACTCAAGTGAAGATAATAAAGTACCTTGGTGTGTTTCTAAGTAAAGTTAGCATGAAAAGGAAATAAGTGTTCAGAGAAGGCTCTATCATTGGGCATTTTTAATGCCTTTCTGTAATGGAAATACAGTATTTATTAAACCACGCATTTGATAAATAGGTTTCCTTAAATATTGTATATTCAATGTTCAATAACAGACAGACTTGCTACTAGTCCTAACAGAAGTTTGTCAGCGTTAAGGGTAATTAAGGAACCGAGAGAGATATTATTCACATTTTACTCAGCCATGAAACAGTCTGAGCAGGGTTACGATAGCTGAGCCAGGCCTCTATTTCCACTGGACCAAACTGAACAGAAGTGGAAACGTGAAGCCAACTATATTACTAATAAATGTAAATTCCGTGTAGTAATCCTTTGAGATTAAGAAAATACTTACTCTGCGATTTCCTCTTAGAGCAACCTGAGAGTCCTGGCGTGCTCTTCGATCCACTGTTCTCTCCCCACCATCTGTTATACTGAGAAATGGATCTCGTCCAAAAGGATCAGAAAAGCTTCTCATCATCTGCCGCATATACTCATGGTGTGCAGCAAAAGGATCGCTGAAAGAGAGAGATTTCGCACAGAAAGTCATTGGGGTTTATTCCGAGTTACATAACACGGCTCTGAAATTTTTAAAATCATTCCATGTGGTTCTTTTCGCAAATTCTTTTAACAGGACACAACTGGGCAATCTCCTGTTCCTCTCAAACTCTCACTTCTTTCACTTTTCTTCCCAACTCTGAAGCTGGTTGGGTGTTTTGGTCTTTTTGTCTTCTCAGCTGCTCTTGGGGTGTCTGTATTGCTTCTTCTCTTTCCTCATCTTTTCCAGAAACATTCCATCCTTTGCAGCCATCTTTCACTCCAGCCTATGCTTACCATCTGCCAGGAACTATAAAGCTGACCTATATTTTACTCACCACTACTTCTATCTCCAACCCCTAATATCAAATGGATTATTTTTTTCCTCTCCTTTTTCCACTTCCATTGTCTAAAGCTTAGCACAGTACTACTTGCTGATTCACTGTGTCCCACTAGATTTTGCCCCCCTCAATTTATTTTCATCCTCCTTGACCCACACGTTCAGAAATGTATACTAACCTCTAAATTCCAGCCAGCTCCAGCTCCTTTACTTTAGTCCCCCACATCTTTGCCTTCCCTTTCCTCCCCCTCCACAAATCGTTTTCTTACATCCCTTTGCTTAGGAAGAACAGAGCATTACTGGCTTTTTGCTTTCCTGTTGCTTTCCCTCCTCTCCTCTTTCTAAACACTCAACCTCTGTTTCCAAAAACCTACAGAACCCCACCAGTAATCCCAAAGCTTGGCTCGCAGGTAAAACATTGCTCAAGTTGTTCTCCCTTAGTACTCAATTTATTGCGTTCTCCAACTTGGACAAGAACTAAATATTTCTGAGGCCAAAAGAGGAGCTAAATACGATTTTGTCAGAAGGACAATATAGAATCAGAATTGCTGCCTGGGGTCCAAGGCTATTATTACTTCATACAGAAAACGTGCTTCATTTCCTCCCTTCATCTCCAGTCTCATTTTCCCCTTTGCTATTCCACTGAAAGCCACTTTTATTAATGTTAAGAGTCATTTCCCAAGTATGTTTACTTAGATTTAATAGCACCTCATCTTCCTTCCTATCAATTTCCTGGCACTCCCCAGACACCTCACACCCTCATTCTCTCCAGGGCACTGCAACCTTTCCCATCACATCTCATGCCTCCATGAAGAAAAGCTTCAGGATGCTCCTCTGACTCCAACACCCAACCAGCTCTTAAAAGTCTCCTGAACAGCTTTTCTATTCTCCCCACCCCTTATCTCCAGTCCCACGAAAATGAGTTTCCACACCACGCGGCCACTTTGATCTCTTTGCTTTGTACTTTCTTTGCATGCCAAAGTGTATTTATTTTTATTTTTTTTCCTTTTAAGCGAATAAGTAAGGTTACAAACATAACGCCGGATTAATTTTCAAACAACACTTGACACGATATCCCTTTAAGCCTCGCATGTAACTCACTCCAGCACACCCCAGAAGTAGTTTTACCCCTGTCATTAAGTAGGCCCTAATCTACCCCCTCACATGACTGCTAGCTTTAACTTCAGTCCTCAATGTGATAAGCAGGTTGCACACAGCCAGCGGCCCCTCACCTTTCACAGGATGAAGACCAGATGGAAAAAAGTCACTGCAGAAGCCAAGGCAAGGGAAGCACGCAAGCACCCCCACAGTACATAGGGTACTTCCATAAATCTATTTTGACTCCCCAAAATTCAGATAGGTTTGGTTATCAACACACAAATAAATATGAACTGTATTCCATCAGTTATTTGTGCATAACAAAATTTGTCCCCAGTCCCTTCCAGTTCAAAAGTAGGACACTCCTAAGTTACCTACAACACAGCATAAGGAAAGCAAGATTCCACAGATTTAATGTGAATAAGAAATATTGGTTGAATTTAGCGCGTGTAACACGCTGCAGTACATCTCACCTGACATAAAATAATGCTTCCTACCTTGTGAAATTGTCCTTTTTGCCTTATTCCAGTTTCTCTTGCAACTTCTGGCCTCTCACCCTCCACTACATCTATTTGATTCACATACCTGCATCTAAAACTGTGTTGGTGTTTTGTTTTTGGTTTTTTATTTTTTAAATTAAAGGTCCACGAAACAATTCAGAAATAGAGCTTCGTACTGTCAGACAGAGAAGTAAGATATACAGTGCGGACTGACAGATTTAGGAACAAAAGTAAAGTCCCTCCCAATTCCCCAGGGACATTTCAGGGAGCCATTCATCAAAAGATCTAGTGTAGCCAAGCTTCAAAAGCAGCACTACAATTTTGGTACACTCTGGAGCAGGGCAAAACCAACCTAAAGTCAACAGAGAATCTGGAAGACAAGGCGTCCAAGGAATTAAACCTACCACCTTGACGGCTCTGATGACTGAAACTCAATCTGTCACTACAAAAGGAGTATGTCACCCTCACTATATGTATTAAATAAGTCAAAGGCTCTCCAGTAGAGGATGCAAGATCTTAAATTCTTTGCTCCAATCACAGGTTTTATAGGATGGCAACAAGTGGAGAACCCTGCTTTTAATTACCACCGATGACATCTGACTTAATCTGACCTTTTTTAGGGGGGGTAAAAAGATACTTTTGATGAGACAGTCATGATTTCTGCACACTCTGCACTATTACACCATAAAAAGGGATGGGGAGGAAGGAAAGAAAGGGGATTCTGTAAGGGTTTTGCACACAGAATTCGTGCCCTTCACACATTAAGCACTGTAAGGTATTTCCAAAATTACGTTCTGAATGGAGACAAACGATTTATACATTTGTTGTTAGGCTACTCTGCGGTAACAAAATCTTGTCTAATGAGCAGTTTATCTGACCTTCACCTGACATTCAGGTCTTTGCAGGGATCAATAAAGGGGAAAAAACATGTGCAGCCTCTGAGACTGACAGTCTCAAGTCCATCTGCTGTATGGAGAAAGAGACCTTAAGGCGGCTGATGCTGCTGGCACGTACGCAAGTGAGGCTTTTCACTAAGATGTAGATCACTTCCTACGGTCTTTAAGCTTAAGCTCCCAAGTTTAAGGCTCTGTGTTCCAGCTGAAACCCTTTATGGTGTTCTAGTGAAAGTACAACGTTACTCCTTACTTCAGCGTGTTTCTGGTCAGTCAAAAAACAGTGTCCTAGAACAATAAATTTAGTTTATTATTTTTTAAAACTGTACTTCGTGTGAGTGTTGGCTTTTTTTTTTTTTTCTTTTTCACTTAGGAAGTTATGTAAGCCTGAAGTTGCAGAATCCCGCTGGAGATAACACCTGGAACAATAAAACAAAAGCTGTGTATTGGTAAATTAAAACCAGATGCCAACTGTGCTTGGCAGAGAAGACACAACTCCTGCACCTGTCCAGGCTATGAGGGATGAAGCTCAGCTGGGCCCGGGCAGCACTCTGGCTGACTGACTGGTGCTTCCCCAGGGCAGCTGCTCACAGATGGAGACATTTCTTTTAACCCAGGCACTATTTCCAGTTCAGCAGTCAAAATCTCTCCTTATGAGGCAACAGAAACCCATTATTACAGTATTTTGGAAGCTAATCTTATCTGAAGTAATAAGCTCATTTCCTTAACTATATGCAAAACAGATTTACAAGGACAATGCCAAGAAAATGAACCTCAGTATCAATCTCTCATCTCTTTCACACGCACTCCCTCTGCCTTTTGCAATCTTTTCTTCCCTATAATTTGAAACAGCATCGGTGGCTATAATAAAAATGCACAAATGAAACGAATAAATAATAGGAGAGAAACTGATACCTCAAAGCATGCTACAAATTGCTACAAACAAGCCTTAACTGCCATTATTATTATTTTAATTTCACACAGAGGATTTGCAGAGTGAAGTTTTCTGCATAGTGTATCCTGCATATAACTGAGGAGTTATAATAACGCAGATATTCCTACAAACCAAGCGTCCTCATCCATCTTGTGTGGCTTTAGAAACTATCCCACTGCCAGGGACGTGCTTTTGCAGCTCAGCGGTAGGTTCTTTAAGAGGTACAAATGCAACCTCAGCTAGAATATCCTGTAACTAAGAGATAAAGTCAACAAACCCACATCACAAGGCCTGATGCGTTTCCCTTCCTTGTCCACCCACCGGCGTTACCCCTTATCTTTGCTTGTAATAAAGCTCCACATCTTTAGAAAAAAACTAAAAATCATTCAGGCTCCTCCGAGTTCTCCATTCCCATTCTTACCCACTACAGATTAGTTTCTGATCAAAGACATAAATCAGGGCCAGATAGGTATTTCAGCAGTTTGGGCTGTCCTAGCACTCCAGGGGAGCATTTGCACAACACACTACTTAGATTTAGATTCCAGTGGCAAACTTAAGATTCCCACTGGAAATAAACCAATTTCCGAATTTAACGCGCAGACATGCTCTACCCCAAGCACCACCGGCGTGCTCATGATAGAGACCAAAAAAACCTCCACATTTGCTGAGCTAAAGCACCAGCATCCACTCAGGAAAGCAGCACAAGGAGACAGTTTGCCTTTCACCTGATCTCACACGCAGGTTTGCAGAGTTTTAATGCAAGAACGCCTTGGTGTTATCTTTAGTGTATGCATCGGCGGCAGGAGCTCAGAAAGTCTACAGGAAAAAAGAACTAATAAAAGGAGAAGAGCTAGAACATCTAGCAACTGCCAACTTTAAGAAACTGAAGGGAAAAAAAAAAGTCAACCCAAGGGAGGTGAAGATTTCTTCTCAGTCGATGTCACTATGAAATTATGATTAAGATCTTCCCTGCCAACTTTTTAAGAAACTGAAGAAAAAAGATAATCAAGAAAATCAACCCAGGGGAGGGGAAGATTTCTCCTCTGTCGATGTCACTATGGAATTACGATTAAGCTCTTCCCTGACAACTTTTTAAGAAACTCAAGGGAAAAAAAAAAATAAAAATCACGAAAGTCAGACCAAGGGGTGTGAAGATTCTTCCCCGTCGATGCCACTGTGACATTAGGGTTAAGTTCTCCCCTGCGCTGTGAGGCTGCCAAGCTCACACGCGTTACTGGAGAGGGGGGCGACAGACAAGACCGT